TTAGTGCCAAGCTCTAGCAACCACGAGGACTCATCCCTCTCACTCTCAAAGTGGATCCTAATGGGACGAGAGTGATAAGAGGTGCCATTGTATGGTAATCGGGTTGGGGCAGCCATAACCCTCAGTTGGTCCTTAAGCCAAACCTACAAGCATATATCAAGTTCAAGGAAAGAAAAGGCAAAACAAAATCATAAGAGAAAGGTCCGTATCACCCACTTGAAATATAACGGGACTCACTATCCAAGGTCCTCTAGAACAGAAGTACATGCTCATCATGGTCTCTACCAGTAAAAGAGCAGCAATGTTCCCTAAGCCCTCCATCTGAAACACTATCTTAACCATGCGTAGCTCTCCTCGATCAGTAGGGACAATGAATAAAAAACCAGCAGTCATGCAAAAAACGTGGGCCCTCATCCTCAACTTCTGATGGACCTGATCCTCAAAACCTATAGGATCGGCGAACTTTGTAACCAATCCAGTCAGGTCAACCAGTCCATTAACTAGCATGCTCTCAACCTTCTCCTCACTAAAATCAAAGAGGCGCTAAAAGCTATGAAAATATCCACTCATCCTAAGGGCCACTACCAGGTTGTCCACCATTATACAACTTAATCGAGGTGCTCGACTCCATTTTTAGCGGATAGACAAGGCGCTCGAGCCAGGGCCTCATAGTTGTTTATTACTCCTCAAAAAATAATTATGGGTTTGGAAAGATTGGTGGACTAATGGGGATTTTAAATTCATGAATTGCTCAAGAATAGCGAAAAAGTTGTTATAGTCTTGTGTTAAGGCTACTGCAACTTGTGGATCTATTGATATATAGGATTTAAACTTATGAGAATTTCTATTGTAGGTGGATTTACATGTGGGATACCAATTGATTCTAAACCTAGGTTTTGTGAATTATGATTATTTGACGTGAATTATGATTATTTGACTAGGATTTTGGGAATGGTGTGTTGCCATTTCGAATTGGTGAAAAAGCTCAAAGGACTGTGGATTTGGAAATCAAGGTGTGTTCTATGCTACCTCACCACATATGTGGAAGTAAAATTAAATAAATGGATAATTCAGCGAATATATAATGATAAACAAGAATGTACTTTGATCAACTTCATAAGGATGTTAGTATAAGGTTTTACAGGAGAATGAAGTAGTTCTTGTCTAAGTCCAAGCGGAAGACACGACCGTTAATGATCTAGAGGATATCTCAGTTCATTAAATGATTTTTTTAATTGAGCCTTATATATTTTAAACAGGATATGTAGCACTCAGCATAATTTTTCTAGTGTAATTACATATATATCCTCAGTACTATTCATTAGCCTATCATTATATCCTCCGTACTATTCAATTAGCCTTCTTACTATATATAAATATTATATATATAATATATTATCTATATATATATATACATAATATTTTTACCTTAATTGAACATGTTGTAGAACGTCAATCTGTGATACGACCATTTAAAACTCGTGTATTACGAAACTCATCATATTTATTGCATGAACCCATTGTGACCTCAATTGTACAACTACTTTTTTTGTGGTTAGGCAAATAATGTCATATAATCTATATATACATAATTTTTTTACCCTTAATTGAACATGTTAGATAGGTATACGAGTCAATCTGTGATACGACCCATTTAAACTCGTGTCATATACAAATCATCTATTTATGGCATGAACCCATTTCGACTCAATTGTAACCTACTTAATTTTTGTGTTAGGCAAATCATGTTCATATATCAATGACTCAATGCAGTCGATTATTGTTATTGAAATTTTAAAATAATGGTACCATAGCCACATATGACGGAATCCTTTATGTTTGAACACTTTGTTTTTATTTTTTAATCTTTGAAAAAGTTGTTGGATCGATTTATAGTTTATAAGTTGCATTTCCACAGTGGCTAAATCACAAAAATAAAATAAAATAAAATAAAATAAAGTCTAAATTTTGACGCTTTTAGCAAATTTAACCAATACTTTTAATTTTATCAATCTACCTCAGATTTATTTTTCCTTATCAATTATGGCCTTCATTTAGAGTCCATTAGTTTGTTGCCTATTCAACAGTCAGTTGGCCCCACAACACGCTATCTCACACCTACATGGTCATTCTTTGGCTATTCATTCTTGTTTTTAAAATCTCCGCAAGCAACTTCCATCATTGACAACCCTAAAGTCCGCCAAGTAGGTTTCTTTGCTCTCGAAGCTTTATTACTCTATCGTACCCAATAGAATTCTGGATAAAGGCTATAATTGACAATAAAAAATAAGAAGAGGGTCTTAATTGATGAAATTGAAAATATTGGCCAAATTTGAAAAAAAAAATTAAAAGTTAAGGGATCTTTTGGGAGATTAAGAAACTTAACTTTTTTTTGTTTTTAGAATTATTAAGAAACTTAACTATTCACATTTCTAAAGAATCATGTCTAAATTTGAAATTGAATCCAATGAAATTACATGTTGTTACATTTGTAAAGAATCATTTCGAAATTGAATTAAAATCCAATAACACTAAAGAAAAATAAATCAAATTAACATATTATTACAATTTGCAAAGAATCATGTCTAAATTTGAATTAGGATCCAATAAAACTAAAAAAATAAAAAAATAAAATTTACATATTACCTAAACTCTAATATTCCAATATAGTAGGAATATATGATGAATGCCAAGACTTTCGATTAAATTTTCTCCTCTCTCGCATAATTTTCCTCTCAAGGGACAAAATGATAAGTACATCGACACATGATAAGACTGCAAAGTTTTGTTGTCAAAATAAAAGACTATCACATTAGATACTCAATCAGCTTTTTGGCCCACTACCCAATTTAATAATCTATCATTAAATCATTATATTGTAATAATATCTTACCCAATAGCCTAGTAATATATTCTTTTATATTTTATTTTTCCAATCATGCCAAAAAGTTTAGTAAAATTACAAAAAGACCAGAAAAAAATACATATACTTTTTTATAGTACTGATTATATAAATCTAACAAGTTCGATAAAAAGCTATGTTATAGTATCCACTTGTTTCAATAAAAAATGGGAAAAAAAAAAGGATTGGCACCTTAATTTTTAAATTCATATTTATTTTAATATAATTAATTTGTTTATTATTAAGTAATTGGTCAAGGAAAATGCAGCCAGGCATTTCTTACTGAGATAGAGACTAGAAAGGAATAAGTAGGAATTGGACAATGACAAGAAAATAAGGCGAAAATTCTATTAATAAAATTTTTAAACGGCATTTAAATAATAAAAATTATAAAATCCAATGGGTCATTCGAGTTCTAAATATTAGAATAAAAACCTGAATAAATAAAAAAAAATCTCTATCAATGATTATAATAATAAACTCTTATTTTTTTATATATTTTTGATTTAGTAATTTAATGTTCAGATATTTTTTGAAATGAAATATTTCAGTTCAAAATCATACTATTTTTCTCATATTTTGTAAAAAAAATATATAAAAACTTCAAATTAAAAAGTTGACAATAATACAATAAAATAAAATAAAATAAAATAATTGCCGCAATGGACTTGGGGAGGAAAAAGAAAAGATGAGTTTTTGTTCTGTAAAAGGCAAAAGAAACGAAGGAAATCTTGCGACCGTGTAATAAAAAAAAGAATTATCGATAGGGACATCAATTAACAAAATAAACTAACCTCTCCGTTCTCTTCTCTCTCCTCTCTATCTCTCAATCAAAACCGGTAGGAGGTTTGTCTGTTAACCCCCTTCTTACTGAAAGCTCAGTTTCTCTCCATTAAATTGACAGCCAAAGTAAGACCGTCTACAACCTGCACTAGACCGTCTACAACCTGCACGAGAAGGTCTCTCTCTGGGTTCTATATTTGCAGCTTGTCTCTCTCTTTCTTTCTCTTGACTTGCTTCAAAAATCGACTTGGGATTTGCTTTTCTAAATCTTTTGCTTAAGAATTTTTATTTGCTTATCTATTTTTTTTCTAGAAAGAACTGGTTTTTAGCCTGTGTGGCTGAGGTCGAAGTGACCCCACCTGGGAATTTAGGAAACATAGCAAAAGAAATCAATGTAAATATCTTTGTCTCTTCTTTTGTTGGATTTTCTGTACAGGAAGGAGGTGTTGTTGAGCTGGTCGTCTATCCTTATTTGGGTCTCTGTTTTTCTTTTTTGGTATGCCAGCTTTTTGGCATTCAATTTAACTGCCAAATTGAGCTTCAGATTTGCTTACTTTCAGCTCTCCTTTTTACTGTATACCCATTTAATGTTTTTTTCTTTTTCAACTTATTCTTGCTTTTAATTTTCTGTTCAATTTCGGGTTACTATTAAATCTTGATTTTGATTCCTAGTTTTCTGTTCTTTTTCTACAGTTTATCAATTCTTTCTTGGTTTTGAAGGATGGATTTCAAGTGAATACTAGAATTTAAGACACGGGTCATTTCCGTTTTAGGATTTTCTTTAGGATTTGTACCTAAATTTTGTAGCCTTTGATTTTGAGAGAGAATTTTGGTTAAAGCTTGGAAATTCACTCAGAATCTAATTACTATGGAAATGACTTCAAGGACGGAAATTAATGATCACAGTGACGACAACAGAGGCAGTATGTGGGATTTGGATCAGAAGCTTGATCAGCCAATGGATGAAGAAGCTGGAAGGCTTAGAAATATGTACAGAGAAAAGGTGTTAGCATAATTCATTTTGTGGACTTTCTGTCTTTAATTAATAAACTTTTTTTAGTGTAGCTGCTCTTGTTCTGTGCGCATATCTATATTATCTTCTTGTTTAGACTGGTCTGAAGTCAAACCTCATACCCAGTTTGAATTTTTAGTTCTGAAGGCTTTCAAGTTATTTAAATTGCAACGGATTGATTTCATTTGTAACAGCAAGAATGTAGAACGTGAATTTATGGAATCTCTGTATATGAGTACTGAGTTACTGGATTTGGTCCTGCATGTATTGAATCAAATTTGAAGTATTGCATAAGTAAGAGGCAAAAGCAAGTTATGCACTTATAATATAATTATGAAGTAATTGCATATATCGTTATACAATTGGTGTGTTTAAAGAATATTGGCATTTTTATTATACTAATTAGCTTTCTTTCTTTATTTGATTTTGATTCCTTCAGAAATTCTCGCTGCTTTTGCTTCTTCGGCTTGCATTCCAGAGTCTTGGAGTGGTCTATGGAGATTTGGGCACTTCTCCGTTGTACGTGTTCTACAATACATTTCCTCGTGGAATCAAAGATCCGGAGGATGTAATTGGAGCTCTTTCATTGATTATATATTCTCTTACTCTTATCCCGCTCCTCAAGTATGTATTCATTGTGTGCAAAGCAAATGATAATGGACAAGGTAAGCCAAAATGTTGAGTACATGGCTCAACCCCTTTTCTCTGAGTTTATGACCTAGTGAATTCAATAAGGAGTGCATGGTATATCATGCTAACTATTTGCCAGGACTTTATTTCTGTGCTTTCTTATATAATGAATCGCAAAGATAAATGGACAATACTATATGAAGATATGTGGACGCCATTGGGCTGCTTTTTCATATATGCTATGATTGACATAGGTGAAAATACATTTATTAGTTCTTTGTTTCTGAAGACCTGTAATTTTCTTGAAATTTTTTTTTTTCTTAAGTTTTTCTATGTCATTCACGTAAATGAAAAAAAAAAAAAAAAAAAAAAAAAAAAAAAAAAAAAAAAAAAAAAATCACGTAAATGAAAAAAAAAAAAAAAAAAAAAAAAAAAAAAAAAAAAAAAAAAAAAAAAAAAAAGAAAGAAAAGAACAACACGCTATAGATAAAGATGTCATTTTTCACCTTCTATGCTTAATTAAATAACAACTTGCTTATAAAACACAACCCGTTTTAACTTTTTGCCTAAAAAAAAAAAAAAAAAAAAAAAAAAAAAAAAAAAAAAAAAAAAAAAAAAGAAAGAAAGAAGCAACACCGCTATAGTAAAGATGTCATTTTTCACCTTCTATGCTTAATTAAATAACAACTTGCTTATAAAACACAACCCGTTAACTTTTGCCTGCTTTTGGATGAAACGAACATAATGGTGTATATATATATATATATATATAAATAATTGGAAATATATAGCTTTAGAGTATTGAAATGAAAAACTAAAAAATTAAAATTGGATACTTGGGCTTCTGCGTGTTTTTTTTATTTTTATATATTTTTATTTATTTTTTAAATTCTGCTGCTCTTTTACTTAAATCATGTGACTGGAATCTTCTTCTTATTTTATTTTATGGTTCTTTTTGGTAAAATTATACATAAACTGAAGTTATATTTCATTGAATTATTTGTAATGTTATTTACATGAGAACATAATGGAAAATACCTTCATTTTACCTTTTCATTTTAGAAATTATAATTTTTAAAAGTTTATGATATCAACCACATTCCTGTTGAGCAACTGGGTTTATCTATCTTGATGAACAGGTGGTACATTTGCTCTTTATTCTTTGCTTTGTCGGCATGCAAACGTAAAAACTATTCCAAATCAACACAGAACAGATGAGGACCTAACAACATATAGTCGTTCTACTTTCCACGAAAAGTCATTTGCTGCCAAAACTAAGCAATGGTTGGAGAGACAATATTCTAGAAAGAATGCACTTCTTATTCTTGTCCTTGTTGGCACTTGTATGGTGATTGGGGATGGGATTCTCACTCCAGCTATATCTGGTACCTCCATGCAAACTCTTAGAGCCATTTTTGTGTGTCATCTACAAATGATGCTTTCACATGTGTATATATTTGGGTGAAATATTCATTCATGTACAACACCAAGATGAAGTTATGGTTTATAGTCTTGCCGAAATTGACAAGATATATGGTGTTTATATATTGGGAAAAAGTTATTGATCCTTTATTTTCAAATTTTGCACATGTTCTAAGATGGAACTAAAGTGCCTTAAAGTATGTAATGCTGTTTGTAGAAACATCACTTAGATATAATTTCTTATTACCCTAGGTGTATTTCTCACTAGTGTTTGATATTTCACCTTTCTGCTTTTATGCTTAATTGCTCTCTTGTTGGAGAATGGCCTACTGAATAAAGTTATATTTAACAACAGGAAAACTTTTTGAAATATGAAAAGCTAATTTAACAGCTTTCATGTGGTACATGGAAAAGGAATTATATCACGGGCCACAGCATTATAATTAAGTGATATTCATATGTACTTGGCCATTGAAATGTTTTTGATGTTTGAAGATTGTTTGGGAATAATGGCTGAAGAATAACTTAGAATTAATCTTTTTTTTCATTCAACACAGTGAGTGAAACAAGTAACAAAAAGAATCCATTTTAGGACTTTCATTTGCTTCCATTATTTGGTCTCATATGAAAATCCTTTCTATGATGTATGAGCTTTTACTATCTTTTATTGCTGATGTGGCAAATATTTTTAATTCCTGTATACTTGTTTGACCGATCTATTTCTTTCAGTCCTTTCAGCTGCTGGTGGGATTAAGGTAGATCACCCCAATATCAGCAGTGGTACTTTTCTTCTCCTGAAATGAATTAATCTGTTTTTTCACATTCTCCAACTTAATCCTTAATAATTTTTCTGCTTTCTTTGGTGCAGATGTAGTCATAGTTGTTGCTGTTGTAATATTAGTAGGTTTATTTTGCATGCAACATTATGGAACGGATAAAGTTGGGTGGCTTTTTGCTCCAATTGTGCTGCTTTGGTTTCTCTTAATTGGGGGTATTGGCATATTCAACATCTGGAAGCATGACACCAGTGTTCTGAAAGCTTTTTCACCTGTATATATTTATCGGTATTTAAGAAGGGGAGGTAAAGACCGTTGGACCTCCCTTGGAGGTGTTATGCTTAGTATAACAGGTATTTGTTCATGGTCTAGTTGTCTCAAACTCATTTGTATCTCTTGATCCATGACTACTTTTCTTCCCTTGTTTTATACCCAAGGTTATGGCAGTATTCTGATTTCTATTTATTAATAATTACAGGTACAGAAGCTCTTTTTGCTGATTTATCCCATTTTCCAGTTTCAGCTGTACAGATTGCTTTTACAGTCATTGTATTTCCATGTCTTCTTTTGGCATATTCTGGACAGGCCGCTTATCTTATGCAAAACAGAGATCATGTGGCTGAAGCATTTTATCGTTCTATACCAGGTTTGATTTGATTTATTTCAGGTTGATGCAATGTATCTCATACAAATAAAGCTGATTAATGTTCTAGTGACAGAAACAACCGTAGAATAACATTTGAAAATAGAAAAATGACATTTTCTTATCAACATTAAGCAACCATGTAGATCCTTTCTAAAAGCCACATTTTACAGTTTAGTGATTTATGCCAAGCATATTTTATTGGTGCACCCTAACTGAAGTGTTTATTTTAGTTGAATGAAACCTGTTGAGAATAATTTCCCAATGTTGTTCCTTTATTTTTCTTCAAGTTTGAAACTTCTTCTAGGGTACTGTCTGGGGCAATTATATGCACCCAAAAATCCTTTCTGCGTGTGAGAAGGTGAGTGGAGGAGGAAGGAAGAGTAAGTAACTTGAACACTGAACTGCAGGAAGGTAAATTAAGGGTAAAGGAGCACAATCAGGATTGCCATGTTAGCAAACTTAACCTTCAAAACCCTTGAGATTTAGTGCGTAAGAGATGCAAAGTAAATGGTGGTTTGCCATTAAACTAGTAATCTAGTGGTTGAGTACTTGCTTCACAATGCATGAGGTTAAGAGTTCCAATCTTGATGCCCTCCTTTTTTCAATTTTTAAAAGCTTCCAATATACCAAAAGCAAAGGGTAAATGGTATGTTCTTGTTTTACAAAAACCTTTTCTAACTGAGAGATATTATGGTCATACAAGGGTAGATCTGCTTGTATCTGAACAGTGTCAATTAAAATCCGTCTAGTTAATCTTGAAAAGGAAAACAGAATTTAGCCAGTCTCACAATTTGATTTGATGTACTTTTTAATGTTGTATATATGGCCTAATTGGACATCAAGAAATTCACAGATTTGTTATGCTATGTATGGTATGTAATTTTATGAGATTCTCAATTGTTCAAAACTTATGCTATGAAAGGGTTGTTAATAGTTTCATCATTGTCGGCTCGCATATGGTTTCTTCAAATTTTTAGAATGGTACCAAAAAAGGAAAGTACTCATCTTACTTTCAAACAAATATCCACTTAACGATTTCAGCATAAAAAAATTGCAGCAAAAGTAAAGAAAGGTGGTTTAGAATGTTATTTAGTCTTATTTCATTTTTCTAATTTGCTGACGTTTATGATTGCATTTCTGGACTTGCTTCTTATAGAACCTGGTTCCTATATTTGTTACTTCTCAAAAAGTTTCGTGTGCTATTCTGGGAATTGATTAATATCTTCTAAATATGAAGCTCTTAGTCTTAGCCTATTAGAGAGTGCTCATCATGGTTATGATCTTCTTAAGAATTGTATTAATATTGGTTTTATCAAACCGTGGTAAACCACTAAATTAAAACCAAATTTGTATTCTCAAAACAGCAGTCTGGTATAGCATAGTGATGGTGACTGCCGTTACAGAATCAATAACAATACAAACAATACGTAAGAAAGCACTCTAAATATCTTGTTTTTGATGGACTTGTTTGAGCTATACAACTAGCATTGAATAACTAAAATCAAATGTTAAAATAAGAGTATGAAGATGCGCAATGATCCCAAAGCATATGCACAAATGGGTTTGGGACTGTACATGTTGTCTAGCCTTGAATTTTCCACTATATAAATAACAGTTATGAACCCAGTGGATGGTTGCATCAAATGTTATTAGTCAGATGCCAACTTATAGAGGTATTCAGTAGCAGCCCTTTGGAAGGGTGGTGGCGGTGGGGTATGATGCCGCTAATTTGTGTTGAACAATTTTTCAGTGCAGGTTGGGTTGAGGTACCCAGTCTGCTATTTTCAGGATGAATTAGGTCTGGACTGATAGGGCTTTTCACTTTATTTTGGGAAGGCAGATCCCCAAGCCTGTGATGCATAAGAGTAGTTAGTTTGAGTATAATTTAAGCATGTTGAATATTTCATGTTATGTTATAACATATCCAACTCTTTGCAATGGTAAAAAAAATGTGTGTTCTGCAGCTTATTTTCAGTTTTAAGTGTTTGATTTTAGATGCTCATTTATTGCCCTTATATTTTCTTGCTGCAGATGGCATATATTGGCCAATGTTTATTGTCGCAACTGCAGCTGCTATAGTTGCTAGTCAGGCTACAATATCTGCAACATTTTCAATAATAAAGCAGGCTCTTGCGCATGGTTGTTTCCCAAGAGTCAAAGTTGTACATACATCAAAGAAGTTCCTTGGTCAGATATATGTTCCTGATATAAATTGGATCCTTATGATTCTTTGCATTTGTGTAACTGCTGGGTTCAAGAACCAAAGCCAAATTGGAAATGCCTATGGTATGCTTATCTTCTTTTGGACGGTGTAAAAATTTGTTTTCCATCTTTTCTTATTGTGCTAACATTTCGCATGAGTGAGGAAGATTACAACAGAACTTGTATAGAATTCAAAGGACAGACTTTTATACATGTGAACATAAAAGCTAAAAAGGAACCACTACTTAAGCCATAATGACCCAATGAAATGAAAGGGTCCCTAACAGTCTAATTACTTGCTCGCTTGGCTGACAAAATCTTATGCAATTTGGACAAAACTATTAAGATTAATCCCAGTTATATCAGAGTTTAAGAGTTAAGGAGAAAGTTAGCCTACTGCCTCCTATCACCTACCCTCCATTGAAGATGTGTGAATTACTACATTTTTATCCCATTAGGTCTGTACCTGTTCAATATTAGAAACCGTAAAAAGAAAATTTTATATCCCTTCTTCCTTATACTTTGTCCAGAAAAAAGGGAGAAAATAAGTAAGTTTGCCTTTTAAAACTTCCTTTTCCTACATTTTCTTTACCATTAGTTTTTTTCCTCTCTCAATTTATTTTCCAGAGTGTTTAAGTTTACGATAGATTGCACTAAATTAAAAAGAAATTTTGTACATCAACAGGTACAGCTGTGGTGGTTGTCATGCTGGTGACCACATTGCTCATGTCTCTAATCATGATACTAGTGTGGCGCTGCCATTGGATTATTGTCCTGCTTTTCACAGGCTTATCACTGGTTGTGGAATGCACTTACTTTTCTGCTGTACTCTTCAAGGTTGATCAAGGTGGCTGGGTTCCCCTTGTAATTGCTGCAGCCTTTCTTATAATCATGTACGTTTGGCATTATGGTACAGTGAAACGGTATGAGTTTGAGATGCATAGTAAGGTTTCGATGGCATGGATTATGGGTCTTGGCCCCAGTTTAGGGTTGGTGCGAGTTCCTGGAATTGGACTTGTGTACACGGAGTTAGCAAGTGGAGTTCCTCACATCTTTTCTCATTTCATCACGAATCTACCTGCTATCCATTCAGTTGTGGTTTTTGTCTGTGTGAAATATCTTCCTGTCTACACAGTTCCTGAAGAAGAGAGATTCCTGGTCAAGCGGATCGGACCAAAGAATTTCCACATGTTTCGTTGCGTTGCAAGGTATGGCTACAAAGACCTACACAAGAAAGACGAGGACTTTGAGAAAAAACTCTTTGATAATCTCTTCTTGTTTGTTCGGCTCGAGTCTATGATGGAAGGTTGTTCGGACTCCGACGAGTATAGTTTATACGGTCAGCAAACTGTGCAATATAGTAATAATGGAAATACTTCTTGTTCTGCGGTAGATTCCATAATTTCATCTGTCGACTCGATCATGCCTGTACAGGGAAATTTGCTGACAACCTCATCTGGTCAAACAAGCAATCAAATGGAGATTGGTGAGTTAGAATTTTTGAATAACTGCAGGGATGCTGGAGTGGTGCATATACTAGGGAATACAGTGGTGAGGGCAAGAAGAGACTCAAGGTTCTACAAGAAAATAGCTGTTGATTACATTTATGCATTTCTTAGGAAGATATGTAGAGAGAATAGTGTCATTTTTAATGTTCCTCATGAGAGTCTATTGAATGTAGGACAAATATTCTATGTATAAATTTTTTGGCTCTTATGGTTAATATGGTTTACTTATATATAAATTTATTTCATTTGCAAATAACTTTATTGAAAATATTCAGTTGTTAAAAAATATTTCATGTTTGGATTAATCATAGAATTCACTTTGAATATGTAATTTCACTGATTTATACTTTGAACTTCATTAGTTTTGATAGTTGTATTCTTTTTAAGTTTAGAATTCATTTGTAGATTCCATTTCTTTTGGAAGGAATTAGGAAGCTTTAATGAAATACAGAACAGTTAATAGTTTTTAGTCTAAATGACTAATTGTCAAAAAAATTTTAAAAAAAATCAAAAAATCAAAATCAAAATTTCACAACTCAGGATATCCATTTAGTGTCATTGAGTTCAAAACCCTAGAAACCAGTTCATTGATTTCATAAAATTTGTGATTTCAGTACTTTTTTATGATTTTGATTATAAAATAGGAGTTGTGTACAAGAACAAGCTAAAATAGTGCTCAAACTTTTTAAAAATTTAATCAAGTGCTTAAACTTTTTCAAAAAATTTAATAAAGTGATCCACACTGATGTGTCATGTCAGACAGATAAATGTGTCTTAATCGACCCCAATTATGCGTAACTTGGTTGTTCACATGGATTGATTTGGTGACCACATCACACAAATAACTGCGTCCAACAAAGAAATTCCCTTATTGTCAAAGAATAACAAAATAGAGTATTGTCAATTTTAAATAATTTTGATTCCATGTCTTCTTCAAATCATACGCATATTGCTTTTATCCCCAAAATCAAGAATCCTAAATTTATGAAGGATTATAGGTCCACCAGTTGATATAATGTTATGTATAAACTTGTTTCCAAACTCTTGCTAATAAGTCAAAATTGATTCTCCTTGCTCTAATTAGTAAGTCCCTGTCAGCTTTCATGCTTGGCTGCTTGATAAGGGACAATGCCCTTATAGCTTTTGAAATATTTCACTTTATGAAAAATAAGATCAAAGATGGAGGGTTTTTCTTTTTGTTTTTTTTTTTTTTTTTGCTTTAAAATTAAATATGACCAAAGCTTATGATCGAGTTGAGTGTCTTTTTTTCTTAAAAATGTTGTACTTAAAATTTACTTGAATATGAAGTGGATTGATATGATAATGAATTGTGTTACAACTGCTTCATATTCTTTGCTTACTAACGAAGAGCCGATGGGAAAATTCTTTCCTCAAGGATGACTCCATCAAGGAGATTCTCTTTCTCCTTATCTCTTTGTTATTTATGATGAAGTGTTTTCATGTCTAATTTCTAAAGTAGAGCAAGATAGGAAGCTTAATGGAATTCATATCTGTCATCAGACACCTTCTATCACTCATTTATTTTTTGTAGACGACAATGTAATTTTTGCAAGAGAAAAAGCTGGTGAAGCGAACATTGTGGCAACTATTATTATAGACTATGAGAGGGTTTCAAGACAATAAATCAATCTATAGAAATCTGAGATATCATTTAGTAGGAGTACCTCACCCGTTATTCAGGAGTTGAGAGTGAAAATAATTAGGCAGCATTCCAAATGTCTAGGACCCCCGATTGTGATAGGGAGGAGTAAAAAACAAATTTTTCATACCATTTGTGATCAAATTGAAAAGACGTTAAAAGGGTTGGAAAGAGAAGTTCTTTTAAAACTCAGGCAATCCTTAACAATAGGCATGGCCATCGGTTCATTTTGAACCGGAACAGAATCATAGTGTAGATGAATCGAAATCGGACCGGAACCGTCGGTTCAAAGTTTTGAACCAGAACTGGCAGTTCAAGGACAGATTAAAGTTCATATGAATGTTAAAATCTGAATCTAAACCGGCGTTGAATCGTCGGTTAACCAGTGATTACAGTTCGATTCGAACCGAAAATTTTCTATTTTTATTTTCAAAATAATAATCACTTATCCTATTTTATACATCTCTAAAAGTCTCAATAATATTTTACTACATGATATACTTTACTTAGTTTTTTTTTTTTTTTATGAAAGACACTTTACTTTAAAAGTTAAAAATCTAAATGTTAAAATCTGAAATCTAAAACCGGCGTTGAATCCGTCGTTAACCAGTGATTACAGTTCGATTCCGAACCGAAAATTTTCTATTTTTATTTTCAAAATAATAATCACTTATCCTATTTACATCTCTAAAAGTCCTCAATAAATATTTTACTACATGTATATCTTTACTTAGTTTTTTTTTTTTTTTATGAAAGACACTTTTACTTTAAAAGTTAAAAATCTAAAAAGTAAATGGTAAAAAAAAGAGAGAAATATTTTAGTCCAAACTTATAAATGTTTAACTTTCTTTTTTACCCTTTAAATTGTTTTTACTAAGTTTTAAAATTACATTCTTTTGAAGCATTTTTCAAAAATTTTCTTATAATTTTATTTATTAATAACATTTAAACAAATAAAGTGAAACTTATTTTGATTTTGTTCGTAAAATTATTAAATTTTAATTCTTTATGGAGTTAATGAAACTCTAAATTTATTTAAAAATAAATTTACAATATTTTAAAATAAAATTTACCAATATTTTTTAAACTCATATTAATATTTTCAAAAGAAAGATGTAATGTTAGAATCGATTTTTTTAAAAAAAAAAACATATATCGCTGGAAACCATGATCGGAACCGCACCGGAACCGGTGGTTCAAGGGCCGGTTCAAGTTCAACATTTTAAAAATTTTGAACCGTCAGTTCCGTGAACTGAAACCAGCGGTTCAATGAACTGGTCATATCTACTTAATAATACCATGAGCTGCTTCCTTTTCCCCATGGAGATTAATCGAAAGATGAAAGTTTAATGGCGAAATTTGGGTAAGGACAAAGGCAGGAGAAGAGAAAAATCCATTGGTGCTCATTGGATAATTGAGTGTTTCTAAATGTAAAGAGAGCGTCGCTTTCAAGATATAACAAATTTTAATATACTCTCCTAGCGAAACAATGTTGGAGGTTATTGAAGATCTTGATTCTTTGTTATGTCGAACGCTAAAAGCAAAGTATTTTCCTCGTGTCTCTTTTATGGAGGCTAAGTTGGGTTTCGAACCAAGCTCTTTTATGGATTTCTCCTCAGTAATGCTGGAGATGGATTCACTACTTTTGGTTCAATATATTAATTATCAAAAGTCCCCTACTTTGCATTATGGAACTAGGCTTTTTAAAAATAGATTTGTTAGCTACTAATTTTTTTTTTTTTTAAGTGTGCTCATATTAGTAGGGTTAAGAATAAGGTAGCTCATATCTAGTATAGCTTTTGATTCTATAGACGATATCCGTTGGATTGAGGAGGTACCTCATCTATATATACGAAAGCTAAAACAAAGAGAAGGCTTAAGGTCTTCTCTTTGTTCAGCATTTTATTTTTCATTTTTTAGAAAATTTAAAGTTTTTTTTTATTTTTCTGTATTTTGATTGGCTAATTTAATTTTTCAATTTAATATTTAGTATATAATTCTTGATAATTGATAACTTTTGAAACTTATAATCTAATCACCTAATCCAACTAGAGCTCTAAAATCTAGCTAGATTTTTTTTTTTTTGAATTAATATGTTATTGTTTATAATCTAATTTCCACCTGCTCCAAAAGTAATTCACAAGTAATTCCCTGCTGTGATCGTGCTACTGCTAAGAATGGAAAAAGATGGGTCATGTAATGCATTCTCCAAGAAGCAGAATAACACCAATGCCAACTAATTCTTAACGCATCAGTAGCTTTAAGAAAATCAGGTTTCAATTTAATGGCTACTCTTCTATTAATTTCTCCTAAAATCTTTCTTTCATCTCCAAATTCAACAATTTTCGCCATTAAAGACTCTGCTCTTATTAATGCTTCTTTTCCTCCATGGTTCCTGATACATCTCCTTCGCTACCATACCTCTCCTTTATTATTTTTAACAAATGATCTTTTAAAGAAACCTAAGGGTAGTTGTTTCCGTACGCTTATTTAGAAAGAATGTTGCTTTAACGATGGTTGATGTAAAATAGAGATTATTAGAGATTAATCATGTGTTGGTTTCTCATCCTGATTTGTTTCTCGATACCATACCTCTCCTTTATTATTTTTAACAAATGATCTTTTAAAGAAACCTAAGGGTAGTTGTTTCCGTACGCTTATTTAGAAAGAATGTTGCTTTAACGATGGTTGATGTAAAATAGAGATTATTAGAGATTAATCATGTGTTGGTTTCTCATCCTGATTTGTTTCTCGAAGGAAATTTGGCATTTCATGGCATTCTTAGGCCTTTTTCTTTGCTAGGAAGTGGTTTAAAAGATTTTGAAAAGATTTGGGATTTTTATATTCAAGCTCCGATTTGTGATTCAAATTTTAGTTTAGTTTTGGATATTGATGAGACTAAGAATTGATTGAATGGACTAGGAAACTTCATTTGTTAAGCTCTAACAGATTTGTGTCCTTTGCAATTGGATTTAACTCTGTTCTTGAAGGAATTCTTGAAGATTTTAGGGATCTGTATTCTGAATTTTCACTTAAGAATTTGAATTTATGGCTACTCCTCCTCCTTCACCAGTTCTTCGTGCCAAGAGGTACTCTGTGCATCACTACGTCTGTTCTCCTATTTTCAATTATTTCATTTTTAGTCTGTGAATTTTGGATTCAGTATTGAATTAATTAGAACTATGTACTTCAATATTGTTGTTTGAAGCTTGCTGGAGTTCTAGTTTTCTTGGCGATTCCTTTCACTGCAATGAAAGCTGTTGCCAATGGTCCGCTGGGTGAGTCTCTCCAAAGATGAATGGAGGAGAGGAAGAAAGTTGCCATCCAAGAATCCTCCAAGCTCAAGGTTTTAGCTGCAAAGGCCCATAAAGAGAGGTAATTTTGGGGTAAGCACATGGCTTTTCTTTTCTATCTGTCGTTATGAAATTGGAAAGTTGATTTTTTGTGCTATCAAACTTGGATGATCTAAAGAATTGTTCTATTTAAAAGACGTTGGAGATGATCTTTTGGATTTGGAGATGAGCTTCTCCATCATTCTAACGCCTTCTCTCTCCTGGCAAATCCAGCTTTCGTGATGCTGCCGTTCTTGATGC